CCTGCTGTCACTATCACACGTGTGGGTTTTTTTTTTCCTGCATTGATGTTGAAATGCGCATTTTAAAGCTAAAGATTACTTTGAAAACCCAAAACATTGATTTCTGGGTGTTGGGGTTGCAAATTTTAATGTCACACGATAATTGCGCCATTTATCGGAACTATATATTGAGGGAAATGAGGCTCTCCTAATAAAACTCCTATATTCACCTTGAGCATTGCCATTCCTGCTACTTTACATAAGTCAAACTAATGTGATAACGTGCGTGTGTACACTTTGATGTAGGGGATTCCCCCCCCCCAACCCTCGCAAAAACTCCAAGATGCAGTATATCCAAATTTGCTACCATATTAAATATCATTCTGTCCCAAAAATGGGTTTGTATACACTATAAAACCTAAAAGATTTAATGTGCAGGATGCCACCAGAACTGACAAAAATATCTCTTAAGATTCAAAGGAAATTAAGGAGAAAGACCCAAGTGGTTAATCTGATTGATACCAACGTCAAGCAGCTGCAAATAAATCATTGGCTGAAACTGTCCAACGTCCGGCCCGTTGAAAGTCTGACATTTCAAACGGTGCTGGGTGTGCCAGGGAATAAAAATACAGATTCTTCTGCAGCTGACACCCATATTTATAAATGAGGAAGTGGCGCCTGCCATTGGCCACCTTGTAAAAATGCAGCTTTTCAGATAGTGGCCTGGAACAAGCCTGCAGAAAGTCAGATTAAGCCAGCATTCACACATACCGTGTAGGTACGCTTAGGAATTCTTGCGGCAGGAACTTGTGTTTTTCCTGCAGCCAAAATCTCGTATCTGCCATTTGCAAGTGGCAGCTGTCACCCATTCAAGTTAATGATCGGATGACAACGGTGGCGTTTAAAAGGGGCAGAACTCTGACACACCTCATGTAATCGTATATGATACCATTACATGCGGTTAGGAATCCTTCACTATCCCAGGATCCAACTCCTGTCATTTGATCATTAACCTGAATGGGTGACAGCTGCCACTTGTAAATTGAAGATTAGGAATTCCTGCTGCAGGAATTCCAAACAGCACCTACTTGGTATCTATGAGGGCTAAGTTAGAACTTGTGATCTGCATACTTCTTCCAAGTCAGCAAATCGGAGTATTCAAGCCATTACATCTGTCAAGGCAACTAACCTCCTTAGAAGAGGTCAGCTATGAAAATGAACAATGTAAAGTCCAGTCTGTTCAGTTCCACTTAAGTATTTTAACATAAGTTGGCAAAAAATTCAAACCTGTGCTAAGCAGCAATTTTTGTGTAGTCTTTTTCCCACTTGGCTTTCAAAACCTTTCGCGTGGAATAAGACTTTGTTCACACCAACCATAGTAAGTGCGTTTTTAGGGATTCCTGCCTCCAGGGATTTGCAAATTCCTTTAGCAGGAATTCCAGATATACAGTTTAGAAGCGTCTGCTGTAACCTATTCACTGTCACCCAATCAGTAACTTGTCCGCATTTGATAGTGGCAGAATGCTAGCACACTGCATGTAATTATATGTGATATGATTACATGAGGTTAGGAATAGATCACTATCCCTGGATGCACAATTGATGCACCAAGGGTTAGTGATGTATTCCTAACCGCATATACCGTGTTTCCCCGAAAATAAGACACCGTCTTATATATTTTTTAGCTAAAAAAAAACACACTAGGTCTTATTTTCGGGGTAGGTCTTATTTTTTTAATGTACAACAATCCACACTTATTCATGTACAGCAGTCTACATGTATTCATGTACAAAAATATGGTAATCAGGGGTGCCGTACCTTTCCAAGAGCAATTTGCTAACCAATTGCTGGCCAGAATGAGCAAAGTGCATTTTCACTATCTTTTTCTCACAGGCGCAGTGCATTTGGTACCACTCCGCCTATGACAGGAGCCGGCGCTATAAAGGAGGTATCGGCTTATGCGGCTCTGCTCCCTACAGTGCCGCCTAGCTTCCTCTAGTGCCGGCTTTGTTGGCACCACTCATTCTCTCCTGCCTCTCCCGCGGCTCTTCAAGTTCCTCCTTATACCGCCACGGGAATGGTCACAACTAGGTCTTATTTTCGGGGTAGGTCTTATATTTTAGCAATTCCCCCAAAATAGTACTAGTTCTTATTTTCGGGGGAAACAGGGTAAATCCTCCTGTCACAGCGAGATCCTGGCAGACAAAACTTTTAACACTTTCTGACTGTGCCAAAACTTGCCACACCTCATGCTGCCCATCATAGTGATAGGCCAGAAGGAATGTGAGGGGGGGGGGAGCTTGGCTGCCTGTGTGCGCGTGACAGGTGGGTCTGGGACGTTGCTACATTTTTTTGTTTGTGGTTTTTTTTATTGTAATTGTTTTTTGTTTTTTTTTTGTTTTTTTAGTGTTTTGTGTTAAATGAACCAAGATGACCACACAGGTTATATCTCCATAAACCTTGTTTCATGTAACCAAGAAAACCTCAAGCTCTGCGATCTTTATGTATTTCAAAAGAAAATGAGACAAAGTATAACTAAATAGTTTAGTGACTTGACCCTTTTGGCATGTTGTCTTGAAGATGGCAAAGTGTCTGTCTTTCTGATAGTGTTTTATATCTGGAAATCTGCAGTAATAGCTGCTTCATTTTCTTATGTATCTGTATTTGGTTTTTTTTTTGTAAAGGAATGCTTGAAACTGGGTTTGTGCACTCCAACTAACAGGGTAGCTTTATTTTTGCAGTATATGAAAATACAGTGAAATTTTACTCCTTTTTTTTAGATTGTTTTATACAGATAAATATTAAAGGTTAACAAAATCATGGATATATAAAGCTACAGTATCTTTTTGTTGTTTAAGGCCTGCTTTCAGACCCATGTGTTGTGGTAATTCTCATTCACTCAAATAGTGCAATAATGCTTTAGGGCCTGTTCACATGAGATCAGGTCCTGATAGCAGACGTGGAGCTGCTGATGCATTGCGTTTTTGGCCGCCTTTTTGAGGCGTTCCAGCAAAAAAAAAAAATTTCTTTTTTGTTGCTGGAGTGGGGCTTTTAGTATGTTAGCTGCAGCGCAGTGCGTTTTTGATGCGTTTGCATATCCAGACCTTTTCTGGACCTGACAAAATGTGACATGCAGTATTTTTTCTGTTGTAAGCTGAACGGACTGGGCACTTGAGAACTGGAGCCCATAAAACACGTACGGATACATTGGGATGCATTTTGAGTGCAGCAGCGTACGGAGTCGGTCAGTACACAAAACGGACGTTGTGTGAACAGGCCCTAACTCTTAATTTAGAGAGGCACAATTACAGTAGCAGGCAATGCAAACTTTTAAAAATAAGGGTCATGTCGGGGGGTTGCCTTTGAGGTTCATTGGCTACACTTTACAAATGAAGGGGTTGCCTTAATGAAACACGTGTTAACAGGCATGAGGTAACGCACCGCAGTGGTCTGGAGGGGGCCTTAGGGTTGCACACTTTAAACATGTCCACCAAATACCCATTCACAAGTAAAAGCACATAGATTTGGTTTTTATGTGGCATGGCTGTTTTTCGGTTTTGTGCGCCATTGCTGATTCCATAATTAATCCTTTGTGCCGAATCTTCATTCCATTGGAGAAACCTCTTGACTACAAGGTAGTAACTACTATGTTTTGTCTGACCTTTTGATTTGGCTCAGTAAAGTCTTTAAAGTCTTAAGTGCTTTCCTCAAAAATCTCACTGGCACTCCATTTGGCTGGATATCCTGCCAATAACACTGCTGGGTCTTATGCAGGGCTGGACAAATACCAGGAGCCAGGTAGCCAATTCTTTAAAAAATGAGTTGGTGCCTAACTTTCTAGTTGTCAATAGAGGTGGCTCCCAAAAAATAAAAACCTGCTGGCTCCTGTATTGGAGATTCTGGCTCCATAATATTTGTCTACCTCTGACCTTTTGGCTGTTGCTTGCAATCCAGTGAAGGACCAAGTCAAGCTAAACGAAGTTCGTGTTCATAGGATATCCATTTTGTCAGCAAAAGATGGGCCTGTATATAGATTTCACCTGAATTATTGCAGCATTGCTGCTTGGGTAATATAATTTCTGCATCCACTATGGATAACAGACAATGTTTCAGTTGTTGACCAATGTAGTAGAGCATAAAGGGGTGACTCAAGCATGAGGAAATCATAATCTAGTTTTAACCTTTTTGTTCCCAAACACAACAGTTCAAATGGCTTTTCTGTCAGTCAAGTTGATTCCTCCCCCTGAATATATACCTTGGCTAACATAATTTAGGGTGGAAAATAGTTTGGTTTTTTTTTCGATGCAAGTACCACTGCTAGCGCTTCTCACTTTGGGAATCATCATTAATGATGGAAGGTAGGTGGCAGTTGTGACCAAATTTATTTTTCTTTTTACTGGCAATTCTTATTTTAATTGTACTCTGTAATACGCAGATTGTATTCTTAGGTTACTACTACACTAATGTAATTTTTTGGTGGAGACTTGTGTGATTTGTAATCCATTTTAAGGATGTACATTGTCTAGATGAGATTACCTTTTATTTTTGTATAGCCTAATTTTCAGCAAGAACATCTTGTAGAGTTGATTTTAGATGTTATAATTCTACAATAAAATAATTTGGCAAACCAAATCTGAGATTTTTGTATTTTATTAAAAAACAAACACCACCAAGTTAATTTGTAAAATCTAGGCATGTTTGGTGTGCTCATTGGCTATTTAGTTTTTTGAATATATTTAGGTGCGGGTTGTCTGAATTCTAAATTCTCTAGAAGTAAAACGTTGACTCAAAATTAAACCTAAGCGTTTGAGGCACTTGTGGTGAATTGAAGAATGCATTCAATTTTAACTTGCACACGTTTTGAATTTATACAAAATAAAACGTTTGATGTGATTTTTGAAACATACTTGGTCTTTTTTTGAAACATTCCATTCCATTGTGCTTGCTAAAATATTGGTGAATCTATACACTGTTGGCTAAATTTGAATAGCACTTACAAAACAAGTACTTCTAATTCCTAGAGATCATAAAGAAGCAGGGTGAAGAAGGTGTACCAGACTTAGTCCATGTGATGCGTGCGTTAGCCACTGAGACCATCCCTAACCTCCCACCAGGGGGTGAATTGGCAAGCAAGTGAGTTCTTCTGAGCATTTTGTGACCTATTGTGTTTTTACTGTAATAGAAGTAATTTTGCCACATTAAAAAAAAAAAAAAGTTTGCATTCTGGACTTTTATGGGTTTCCAAAATGACTATCCATGTTCCTGACATTGATAGTGCTAAGCTGAACGTTTTCATTGGCAAACCATTTCCAAGCCATTCCCTTTTCCTGTGAGGTTTTTAGCCCTTGTACCCAGGGGCTTCATACGGATCAAAATGATTTCAGATCGTTTTCTACTGAAGAGGCTGACATCGGGCCTACTATTAGACTTCAGCTCCTCCCCCAAAACATTTTAAAACATTTTTTTTTTTTTTCTTGTGGCATTTGTGTGATGGCATGTGTTGTGTGCATAGTGGTTTGCTTTTTTCCTGAGCTTGTTTTTTATTGAGGTTTCTCCAGCTAATAACGAATCTTCCTTTTACCCCCACTTTTTGTTTTTTGTTTTTATACAATACCCTTTAACACTACCCTAGCTTCGACCAATGTCGCTTGTCTGTATTTTTGTGACCGTGTACCTAGCTTGGTTGCCTGTTAAATGCACATTTAAACTAAACGCTATTCATTGTAATTGTCTGAATGCAGTTGGGTTAATGATGATTTTGTTTGCAGTATTGGATATTGTGCTGTGCAGAACGCAGCATACAAATCCTATAGGCTAGGTGCCCTATGCACGTACATAAGTTACTTTGGACATCTAAAGAAATACGGGAAATATATATATCTATATATCTAATATATAGATGTATATCTATCACAAAATATTGTACTTGGGGGTCAGTTTACCAACCTATTCTTGTGTAGGTTTCTTCCGTTTCATTTTCTTTTGGGGGATATTGCAGTAGGTGGATTAAAATGCTATAACAAGGCAGGGTGAAGATTTATGGTTTAGGGTAACCATATGCATGGGTAGAGTTATCATGCTGCTGGTTATTAAAGGAAAAAGTGATAATTTAACCAACCAGCTTCCACCAATACCAAATGGATCAGTTTTGGGTGACCCTTTTATATACTGATAGAAATACAAATTTCAAGTTTCCATTGTTCACCAATTTTTTTTAAATTCGTGATCTCTGGTTGTCATGCTAATCCTATGGCTTCAATACATTTCAGAGTCAAAAAGCATGTATCTGGAATTCTTATCCTGCATGCTTGTTTCAGGTCAGCAACTCAGATTATTAGAATGAAGTATTGCAGGATCAGTATGAACGCCAGGCAATATCATATTTAGAAAGGTTGACAGTGAAAGCCCCCAGATTTCTCTCAGCATGGTAACTAGAAGGGCAGCTGTTTTATGCTGCAGCTGAGATCTTGTTTACTGGAGACCTGGATTTTCATCCCACTGTGCAAGTCTTCTGACTGTAGTAGTGCACTGCACTTAGCCGTTGGTAAAGATAGAGCGACTTATACCATCTTAGTGCTGCACACCTTGTATTAACGTTTGGTGTTGGTGGCATTTCTTTTTTCCACCTTTTTTTTCTATAAGGAAGGGAACAAACTGGAAAGCTCTCTGCATGCACAAATAAGCAATTTATATGAACGCACTTGTATGCAAGGAAGCTCTGCAGAGTTGTGGCTATTTATTGTACAGTTGATCGATTTTAGGTGCATTGATGACAGGAAGTCTTCATCGCCATGCCATCTAAACATTTACAAACGTCGGAGGCATGTTAGTTATGTATATTTGTCAAATTTTATAGATTATATAAGCTTGAAGATCTTCAACGTTGCTGCTCACGTTGACTGGAATAATTCCAAATATTCTCTGATCTATTTAGGACACAATTGATATTGGTCATTCAGTGTCCTTATTCTCTGGTGACAGTGTTATGTACAAATTGGTTATGTGGAATTAAAACTGTGTAGGAAAAAAAGAAAACAAAAAAATTCCCTCCCACCCCATCAGAATTTTTGCTTTTATTAATCCATCACAACTGTAATTTACAAAAAAAAACCTCCCTGGTGACCAGGTCAGGCAGGTCTGTAAGGCTGTCAGTGGTGCTTTCCATGCTACTAGACGGTAAGTATCACTATGCACAGAGGTGGTGAGCGCTTTTTGTGGAGCAGGAAGCAATCAGTGGCTGTAGGCCAGAGCAGAACTCTGCTGAGTGACAGAGGGCAGACAGCGGCATCAGTGTCAGTGGAGTGGCCGTTTCCACCCCGATACTACTGTATTTACCAACTGGCAAATGCAGCCTGTACCAGGGACAGCATGGAGACGAGTAAGTCCAGGGACCAGTGGAGCAGGGATAGAGAAATGCCGGTGAGAGAACAGGGCCACTGAACACCAACTATTTCCCCTTATCCCTTACTGACACACACTGCTGTCTGCTCCCATTACTGACTGACACACAGCGGTTTGCTTCCCATCAATAAATCGCTGATGCACTGCAGCCTTCTCCCCATCACCATCTGACAGCTGTAATTTCCCCATTGCTGACAGACTGCTGTCTGCTCCCATCGTGCCTGTTTGCACTTGAAGGGGGGTGTTGGAAGTGTGTGGTAAAAATAAGCGGGGCAGGTTGCATAGTGTGCTCTTTTAGGTTTTGAAAGCTGACTCGTAGTGTCTCTGAGATTTGTTCAGAACTGATTTAAACACCATCTCTGGGCAGAAGAAAACTATCCTCCACTGCAAGTGTTAAGTGCTCATTTTCGTCTAGGGTCTAAAATAAAGATCTATTAACCCAAACATCTGTCCCTCCTAGCTGCTAGACCGGTCCCTGCAGCCACTCTCCCCCTCTGCTCCAGTGATGAAATATCCCTCTGCGTTCTCATGTCCAATACACTGTAATATATGTGATGACTCGCGTATCCCTAGACCACCGGAGTGAAGGGGGAAGATAAGCTACAGGGACCAGTCTAGCAGCCAAGTGGGAACAAAGTTTCGGTGCGTATATCGTTGTTTTTAGACCCTAGATGAAAATGAGCCTTTAACCCTTGCAGTGCTGGGGTAGCCCCACTGCAAGGGGTAAGTTTTTTGTTTTTTAGGTAATTATCTTGTCTTTTGGGTTCCTTAAATAAAGCAAAGCATAAAAATCTAACCATTGGTTGTCACTAGTTCATTGAGGATGTGTCATGGTTGTCTGTCTTATTACTTTTATGTAACATTTGCTTTAGATTCTATACCTCTTGTGCATACACAAATGTTCAGATGATTCTTTACTTTGCGATCACTAGAAAAAAAAAGCCAAGGACTGAATTACCTTTTATAATTGTGTTAGGGTTTTGGATTAAAGGTAAGTCATGCGACATGTCTTAATATCCATGGATTAATGACATTCAAACGGATTACCAGTTTTATACAGGGTTTGCATAATTGCGGATAGGCACTGAAAGTAACTTTTCCATGCTGTAGAGTGCACGTTAAATGGAAACTTGAGTTTGTATTGTCACTGTGGTCTTAAAGTCCATTTTATAATATAAAAATAAATACATTGATGGTACAGCAAAAAGGTTCTTGTGGAATGGCTTTTAAATCTTCTGAAGTTTCAAAGCACTGACGTAACATTTTGGAGAATGACTGCTGCGCTCTGTGGAAGCAGTGGTCTGACCTCTCTCTCTGAGCTCGGGTGCTTCAATTGGCAAGGTTCACACTACCTGAAAAATGCAGAGCTCTAGCTCTTTAGAGGATGCTTGTGAGTGTGCTGCTTCCATGCAGAGCTCCCAGGGGAATGACATTTTGAACACCTGCAAAGTAAGTCTGCCATAATGTGCTAATATGCTGTGCTGTGCATATTAGTTCATTATGGCAAATACCTCCTGGGTGCCAAAATTTCAATTTTGGTTTGGCGGACTACAACTTTTAGGCGCAAACATTTTATTACTCCTAAGTCAGTTTGATTAACCATATAGATACAGAATTGTGTTTACTGCTCTCCTCAGAAACCTTAGGGTCACCATACATGTTACAAGTCTGACTGTACAATTCAACTTCAGATTTACCACAACCATTTAATAGGAGGGCCTACTGAACCGATCCCATCAATTTGTATCCAGTTAGAAGGACCCTGCACTCCATAGTTATTGGTCGATCTAAAGGAGATTGCACAGATTGTGATGTGTGTATTGAGCTTATGACTGTTAATGTCTAGCAGCTAAAACCCTGTTCTGTGACACAAGTATGATGTAGTACCCTATTAGTGTAAGAGTAACTCAGCTAGTCAAATTGGGAAGCTTGAGTTATTTAGATCAGTCTTGGTTGTAACGGTTTAATGTAACCATGATTAAAAAAATGTTTTGCCATGATTTATGTTGGGGCTTTTTTTATTTTATCTAGGCGGAGTGTGATCGAAGCGGTTTACAACAGGCTGAATCCATATAGAAATGATGACACTGTAAGTACTTTTTGTTTTGAAGCTGTCAACTTTTCATTAGCTTCTCTTTTAATATGTATAGTTTATACATGGTAGGACTATCACCCTTTTGTTAATGTCGACCCAGGGCAGCTTAAATTCCTGTGAAAAGGAACACAAGCACATAAATATTGGGCTTTCATTGCCTCGTTTTGCCTTGCCTTGTTTTGGTAGGTGAAAACTCTCTTGTGCTGCCAACCTCGACCTGATCGATTTTAATGTCACTGACCCCGAATAAGCATATGCTTATCCAGTGTCCCATACGTGCCTGCCACTCGCACAATGGTGAAGATAAGGGATGATGACCTTGTAACGCTCACACCTTCAAACAAAGAAAATACGGCTCCCATATTTCTGTGCTGACAGTTTCTTTTTAAGGTAGTCTTGTCTGTGTAAAAAAACAAAATTGGTTAATAAATTCTGAAACGCAATCTTAAAATTTAACCGGAGCTGTAGCTAGAACTCACGAAAACCATCCCCGTAGGCCTTTTCTAAACGATTGGGTTAAAAGTAAAACTGTACCAAGTAGCGCGTTAACCACAGTGTCTTGCATTCTTTAACCTTACATAAAGTATGCTAAATGCCAACTTTGCATGTGTCTTAAGACCCTTAGCCCTCATTCACACGAGCAACGGCTGGCCCATACAGATCCGTGCACAGCTGTATCTGGTTGCTCCCGGGAAGGATGTACGTGGCCGTACGCTGCCCTACACTCACCCGAACTGCACCTCCATGCCGGTGTCCATACTCGTATGCTGATGGGGTGGATCCGGTCAGCGGCCGAGCAGGGACACCCGCACCCGAATGGACGTGCAGATCGGGTGAGCATAGGGCGGCGTACAGCCGCATACTCCCATAGAGAAGGACAGGCTGCTGCATGTAATCACATGCAGTACCTGTCCTTCCCGGGAGCGGCCCGATACGGATCTGTACGGGCCGGCCGTTACTCGTGTGATTGAGGGCTTAGGGGTATTGCATTGAGATAAGGCAGCTTTACAGATAATGCATTAAAAGACATCCATGGCCCTGACTAACCCAGCTGTCAGTGATTTGCAGAAATTGGTCTTTAGATCTCTTCACATCAAGGCTTATCTTTGAATTATGTGAGTTCGCTGCATGGGGTGCGAAGGTTGCACTTGCAGATTTGCTAGTCATAAAGCTTCAGTATATCAACCAAACTCCTTCAGTTGAATTGTCAGCTAAAAATGTTAATTTGCTAGCATTTTAGTTCTGTTACGTTACATAGCTTTTGAAAGCACATGCAAAAATTGTTTTGTTTTTGTCTTTTTTTTTAATGTACAACTTGCTATCTCATAGGGGTCTGACGATCCCCATGGATGATGGCACAAAAGTAGTGACATTAGGGATCTTTTAGAATGTCTCCCCTGCACTTCAGTGAAGCTAATCAGGTACAGATAGTGCTTATTTAGCTTCTTTCTCGGCCACAGCAGCCCAAGGAATGACTGCTCTAAAACCGGAAGTGACCAAATGCTTGACGCTTCCAGGTTTATTCCTCAGAGGGTAGATCAGCCAACAGTTATGCCATGCCGCCACCGATGTGATGCATGCCACGGCAGCGAAGGGGTTAATCCAAAAATTCTAATTTTAAAGCATTGACATGAAAAGCCTTGAATTTACTATTTTATACCTAATGCAGTTTCACTGAAGATAAAACCAATGTATTCAGCTCATGGTAGGATGAATTACATTCTACTTTTGAAAACATGTACACACGTAATATTCAACCGTACACACGTCGTGTTTATTATTATTAAATGGTGTAACAAATGAATGCCTTCTGTCTTTAGAACAGACCTGTACACCTCTACTACCATTCCCAGCATCTGTTAGATGCTGCTGAATGGATTGCTGTAACCGGGCACTAGCCGTGATACCACAAGAAGGCACGTCCACAAAGATTCCCCTGTGCTGCTGAAGTCCTCTTTGGGCAACCACAAATATGACAATAGGTGCATATCCTGCAGTTATAAATACCAGTGCTGGGAGAGCTCCTCTATGGATGGTTCCAGTTACCCTTTAGACAATTTATTTCACTTTTTTTTATTTATTTTTTTAGTCCTTGTTCACAGCAAGTGCGGAGCAGAGCAGTTGCAGACTGGATCAAAACTGCGTCCAATGTATTACTATGGTATTTCTTGCTCCAGTTCACATTGCAGCGTGCAGGTCCAGAGCAGGTGAAAAAACTGCAGCAAGCCCTATTTTACCTGCTCTGGAATGCATGCAAATCCATAAAAAATGCAGATGGCAAGGTGCAAACAGGCACCTTGCCATATATAGGCTGCAGTAACCGCTGAAAGCTAAAATGCTGTTTTTTTTGGGGGTTTTTTAAAAAGTCTTCAGGTTGCATGTGATCGCTTTGTTGTAGTGACTGGTGATCAGTTGATCAGAAGCCATTCTGATTGGTTCCCAATATAGGAGACTGAAGAAGTTGGTGACAGCTGGGTTTGATAGCAGCCATGCAAAGTGTTGGCTGGTAGCAGTGAAAGGGTTAATGTTTATTAAATGAATCCTTAGCATGGGGCATCTTACCGTGGAATGTTTATTATAGGGATGTGGGTGGAAAGAGGTGAACTCATATGTTAGAAATGTAAATAGCAAAATGTCCACTATAATCCTGTAGTAATGCACTGTTCCAATGGTGAAGGTAAGAATGATTACACAAGGACACATGTACGAACTGGCATTAATTCAAAAGTATGATTGTTTAATCTGCATATTAGAACAACAATTTCTAAGATAATGTTCAAAAGCAACCCTGTCTCTAGTATAGAAAAACTCCAGCAGCAGCCATTAAGGCTTTGTTCACACCAGATGCAGTGCGTTCCGGCCCTATTCTTTCCAGAACGCACTGCATCGCAGCTGGCTCAGGATGTTGTGGGGCAGGAGGGGGTGTGGCGGTCCATTGAAGTGAATGGTACCGCAACCACGTCCTTCGGCCGCACCGGAACACAAGGCGCACATCATTATATCCGGTCTGAACAAAATAGTGCTTGCAGCATTTTGTTCGGACTGCAGGCATAATGTGCCTTGCGTTCCCGTATGGCTGATCACACTGAGGCCGGAGGGCATGGCTACGGTGCCATTCACTTCAATGGACCGCCACGCCCCCTCCTGCCCCACATGGTGAGCCGGCTGCGATGCAGTGTGTTCTGGCCAGAATCGGGCCGGAACGCACTGTCTAGTGTGACTGAGCCCTAAGAGAATAATCTGAATACTTACCAGGTCCACAGGCAGCAAGTGAACTCCAAGCTGTTCTGTAAAGCTCTGGTGTGTCGGATAATTTCCCCACTGGGCACTGTGGTTCTTTCCAGCAGCCCTTGCATCACCGTTTTCTCTTACAGGCACAGATGGTAGTTAATTTTTATATGAACAGGGTTGCAGTTAAGTAAACCTTTCTTTAGAGAAATATGGGTGTTGCTAACTTTCTACTGAAACTGCTGGTTGCCGGGCTCTTATTCTGACCCTGTATATTCTGACGTGGAAGAATCACACAGCAAAAATGTCAAAAGTGTGTCAGTCATTTACGAACAGAAACTAAAAACAAGCTCAGTCATGAAGGGGTTAACTACTTTGTCCCAGACCCGGAACAGGAAGCCCTATCAGAAAGGTGGCAGCATCCTAGTTTCTTAAAGGTTTTTGTTAAACAGTGTAAACGTTTGAATTGAGTAAACAAATCCTAATTAATATTTCCTCTTGCTCCTTATCATTAAAGGACTCTGCATCAACAGATGACATGTGGTAAATATATCCGTTTAGCAATGGAGTTTACATCCATCCTCAATGAACATACAGCCCAACCTCAGTGATCCTTCTTAGCATCCATCCTGAACCTTTTTCATTTAAAGAAGGGAATTTGATGTGGATGAGCTTGATGAAAACAATAAAACAGTCAAATGGCCCCTGACTATTGTACTGTTTTTTTCCCTAATACTTTCTCTACGCATATATTTTCTTTTTGTAAAATTGAATTTTATGTTAAAGTACTTTCAAACAATACATGTTGTAAATCAGACTCCAGCAAATTCTGTTGTATGATTTTTTTATTCCCCTTTTTTGTAAAGTGCAATTGTCCTTGTACAAATTGTCATATTTAATTATGGACTGCAAATTTCTCTAAAGGTTATAGGAAGTCTAGCTTGTTATGTGATGCAACCAATAATCTAACCGATACATTCATGTGGTGGTTTTAGATTGGACATAAAGCAGCAACATAACCAGCTTGGGGTCCCTATTCAATTGTTTATAGAATTGTAACATTAGTGTACAGTGTTTCTTTTTTTTTTTTTGGACAAAGAACAGCTTTCAGTTCTGTCAAAATTAATTTTGGATGGCAACAAGATGATTAGCGAAATTTCGATGATAAATTTTGACAAGCGCAGTCTAAGAACAAATCTACACCAAGATTTAAACACTCACATCCGTTCACTATTAATCAGTTTGTGTTGTAATTTTTTTTTGTTGATAACTACACTGGCTGGGTCTGTTGCTGCTACAGAGAGTTCTGAATTCCATGTTATCAATAAAGCTTGATTTGACAAACACTCATAAAGAAGTAAATTTTCTTGTCTGCCTTTTTGGTCTGTGCCATTTTTTTTTTCTAACTTTTTGGTTAATCTCGATATTTATTGAACCCCCCACAGCTAAAGCACGCATCCACGCACATAGATCATGTATTTACACATTTTTCTCCTCAGTGTGTTTGCTCACAAGGTTTTGTAGGATTGTTTTCCTTTAGGGGGTTTGAAGCTACTGTGTCTTAAGTTTATATTCTGCTTGTAAGAAGAAATAAAGTCCTGAGAGTCTAACCGTTAATGTTTATTTTTTTCCACTTGACCAATTAACTTAGGGAGGGGTAATGATTAAACTATATTTGTGATTGCAACTATTAAGCATGTTTTTGTTTAACTACTGGTTGTCAATAATGCAGTTTACAACTATGGTTGTCACAGTATCATTTGCCAAGCAGTGTGTTTCCATATATTCTCCAATTACTGTATTGTTTAGCCTTGTTGCTATTATCACATGTAAAGTTGTGTTTATGTGAAATATATGTTCATTCTACTCCATCCACTCAGTAGTTTCCCTTCATGTACATTTATAGTACAAGTAACAGTATGTGATGTCACAAACTCAATGCCCTAAACTGAGAAAGTTCAAGGATAATGCCACATGTAGAGTTTTTTGTTTTGGTAGATGTTGGTGAACTGTATCACCGGCTGCTTATTCTAGAAGACACTGGTGGACACATGCACGCACACCAGACCCTTCCACCTAACCTGGGTATAAACATGTTCCTGCTTTCCCTGTTGAGTTTGTGCAGTGCAACAGTGCTGCTTCAAGTGTATGTAGACACAGTTTTTTGTGTCTCTTGCAAAGATTCTTACATGAAGGTCCTGCCAATAACGGCTCTACCTGTTTCAAGCTGACATCACTAAGTCACTGCCTTGCTATTAGCAGCAGTATTTTCAGCTTGCACTCCTTCAGTAGGGCTGCCTACTGGGTCTGCAGGAGCAATGTGCAGACCTGATGGGCAACTGAAGGGACATGCACAGGGCTTGAAAAATCCGCTCGTCCTCTCGTCTATGACAAGAGGATGCCAGAGCCGGACGAGTAGCTGGCCGGCCATTGTAATCAAAGGGCCGGCCGGGAGCTCTCTAGAGACGCCCGACCGGTGCGGTTTGAACCCCTCATCTCCCCCCGCATATGCCACAGTCATTGCCAGTCCCAAGATCCGGTGGGGCCGGGACCGGCACGTCTGCTCTGTGACAGGAGATCTTCATACACACGCAAACATGCGTCTGGTGCGTCTACGTGTGAAAATGACGATTGTGCCGCACATGTAACATATCACCGGGAACGTCGGAGTGAGAGCAATAATTTTAGGGCCATTAATCACTGATGAGCAGTAAAAGCGTTTAAAGCGTCGCCTATGGCCAATTTTCTATGTCATTTATTGCGATTTTGCGGGTGCGCGCTATTTTAAGACTTGGCATGTTTGGTTCTATGTACCCGACGTGATCCCGTCTTTTATATTTTACCCAGAAATTAGGTAATGTTTTAGAACGTAGGAAGAACAGGTTTTGTTTTGTTTTTTTCCAAAATTTTAGGGTTTTTTTCATTATATAGTAAAAAAAAAAAATCCAGTTATGATTTATATACCACCAAATTAACGCTCTGTGTCCCCAAAAAATGTTAACATAAATCGCAAGGCTATAGTCTGCCCATGCTGACTGGTGACATTTTTAACCGGTAAAACACCCTAACATTTTTCAAGCCCTGGACATGCATGTCATGTTAATAATGCTGTTGCTAGTTTAGGGACCATGCTTTGCATACAATGAGGCACAATGCCAAACATAATGCAGCATAGATTTTGGATTTACATACACTTCCATTTTCTTCAGCACCAGGAAAACGGGAGTTTCATAGCTATTGGGTAATTCCAGAACTGAAATATCTGTTTTTAGGAGGACTGACCCTTTAAAATTTGCAATTGCTAGTTTTAAAAATTGGAATGCTACTTTTTCATATTGGTTGTATAAACGCCTTCTGCTCTTAACATCCCTGTTCAGTAAGATTCTTATGCATCGCATTGCCCAAGATTCAGCAAACTTTTTTTTGGTCTAGTGACCACATGCATAGCACTAGCTCACAGCTCTCATGCGAAGATACCATTAATCTTCACTGCAATATATGACCATTGCAACATTCTTATTCTTTCAAGTGTTGTGAACCACTTTTCATTGTTGAATTCTATAGAAGGAACACACCTATGAAATATCAAAATGCCACTTCTTTAATGTTTGTCTTGGTGTCAGCTGAAGTCAAGAGGAATTGGGGAAATATTCAAGTTGAGCAATTGATATGTTCATAGTTCTACAATTTTTGTTTTGTACTTTTCTGTATTAACCTTTTTAATCATTGAGGTGCTGGTATTGTAATTGTTTCCCTTTTGTTTACTATCCAGTCATGAAGTACACAAAACCACATGCAGTGTAAAAATCTTGGTTTAAAAGCTAATTTCTTTAAATTCCAATAAAGACTGCAACATGTGTAAATGTGCAATGTAAGATCTTGTAACCATGTTTTTTTTTTATAACCGGTGACGTTTGTGCACACCATTCCAAGAACAACTGTCCTATGATTATTGCTTCTGCTGATAAATTAGTAAATTATTAGACTGAGACAGTGCCTTCTTTTTGCCCTGCAGACAGTGCGAGACTGAATTCCAGAGTATGCCTATACTTGTGTTTTTATTACATTAATTGCAGAATGATGCAAGTTTTATCTTCAAGTGTAGGTATGCTTTCATTATGATAGTTTAAACTTATTGCAAAGTCATTTCAAGGAAGGGTGTGTTTTAAATAGAATGGGTTTTTCTCTGTGGAGACACATTTGCCTTTTCTCATTTATGTTGTTAGATCAAGATCTCTGGTTTACGGTTATTGCGGATTAAAGCAGATCTGTAATCAACAAAAAGTCTTATAAGTGAAACAGGATTTACCTTTTACTGCAGATTGCCAAATCCAGTGCCACCATGCCCAAATCTGCTATGCAAATTGTTTGCACAGGCACGCCTCTCTTCATAATGCCCAGGCCTGCTGACCTAATCGCTGGGGCACTGTGAAGCATGAGGGCTTTCCTAATTTCCCACATCAGGTAGTGCAATAACTGGTAAGGCTTCTGGGGAACTGTTGGTCTCTACTTCTGAAACCGTTACCTTACCGCCATGTGGAACCTGTGAACTTGAACAAGCAATCTGGCGCTTTTTGATCTGCTTACTTATTCTTGCTCAGGCACCTACTGACTTCAATCCAATAGCTCCCAACACGCAGATGCTAGGATTTTCAGGAGGCCAGCAACGGAAGCACCTTTTTTTCATAATTGTATTCATTAGGGATGCACCGATTACTAGTATGGATATCAGTGCCGATACAGAGTATTTGGGCGAGTACTCAAAACTCTCCCAAATGCTCCGATGCTTAGCCCAATAATTCCTCTTTCAGGAAGGATTACACACTGCCCGATTTCCTGATTGGCCGGGAAGCGGCTTCATTCTCTCTCGTCACTTGTAATGATGCGCTGGCCAATCAGGAAGCCGGGCGCCATGTAATGACGCAGCACCCGGCATTCTGATTTGCCGGGAAGCCGGCTTTATGCTCCCTCGTCATCTCATGATGGAGCATGAAGCCGGCCAATCAGAAAGCAGGGCGTTGCGTCATTACACGGCACCCGGCTTCCATGATTAGCCAGCAAGACTGCTCCGGCTGGGTACCGGAGGAAGGTCGCTCCTGGCTGGAGAGGCCCCGGAGGTGACAGGCTGGACATGCTGAGGTGAGAGGGGACATACTTTCTTGTTAATCAGGAAACCAGGTGGCGAGTCTTTACACGCTGCCCGGCTTCCTGAATGGGACTTCCGGTACTTGGTAAATTGGTATCGGCAAGTATCGAAATAAAATTCTGGGTACTCGGTACCAAAATACCGGTATTGGTGCATCCCTAGTATTCATGTAAAGGTTCTACAGCAGTGGCTTTGTGCTGCCGCTTTGTTTTATGGATGTTATATGCATAGGGTTGCTTCAGCTGGCATTGCACTAAATGTACAGAGTTTTTTTTTGTTTTTGTTTTTTTTTTTTATGCATCCCGGAATATAGGAAATTCCTTATCCCTCTGAAGGGGCCTTTTAACCATGGTCTGCAATTGGCTGTTTTTGCCTGAATGGTCCCTCTAGCCTTTTTAGGATAGACCACTATTGGCTGAGTGTTGGTCATGTGAACTAAAACAGAGTGATGAGGTGTTTCTTATGTTACAAGATAAGTAGGTTTTCATTCAAATTTTTTACGTTTGACAGATCTGAAACCCTGGGAACAACCTTCATGCTCACTGGCTATTTTTCATACTGGGCACCATCTTGGGGAGCCTTGTCCCCTGAAACTCCTGGTCTGCACTATCTCTAGGCCCTGAAGGAACATACCAGGTGATTATTCACAGCTCCCCGTGAACAGAAGATGTTTTTTTTAAAGCCTTTATGGCTCATTCACATGGGTGCAGAGATTAGTTTATCCTAAAAACTGGCTGGATCTCTGCACCCGGGATCCACAGGTGTTGCGTACAGGCCACCTGTACAAATCACTGATGGGCTGTGAGGCTACATCCATCTATAGCTGTACAGTCCCAGCCTGTCATTGATTTGTACAAGTGGACTGCATGAAATACATGTGGCTCTTGGGTGCAGCTTGTTTTTATGGTACACGGACCTCCTGAGCCTGGGTGAATGAGCCGTAAAGGTTCTAAAAGTCATCTTTTATTCACGGGGAGGTTACATGACGCAAGATAAGGTGCAATGTAAGCCTTCTGAACCCGGCTACAATTAAGTGCTTCTTGCTCATAGGTTTGTCTAAGCTTTATCATTAATACATACAATTTCAAGTCTCTCAATGGTGGTTATTTCTGTGTATCTAGGGAAAGTACATAAAACTGGTGGTAAATCTTGAATACTTTCATACGGTGTCCTGGAAATTGTACTAGCTGCTGTGATCTTGTTA